GCCAAGTACCATGCCAAACCCCTACAAGTAGGTAGCTGTTACAATCCATTTCTTTTCCTCATTTAATTACCTTTTTAACTCATATGATCTCAAGCTGATATAGATGCCCCCCTCTCTCTCTTAATTGAAAAAAAAGGGGGGGGAAGGGGCGGAGGAGTTGTTTAATGTCATATTTCAATGGAACAAGCAGGGGGGGAAATTGAATTAACTGTAAGATGTAATCATATTAATTTCAGCACTGCAGGACTTCACAAAATGTGATGGTAAAAGTTTCCAAAACACACTACACCACTCTTTATCATATTACCAAAGACCAACTTTTTTCTAAGAGAGAAATGAGTTAATGTGTCTACCTCAAATGTCATGTTTCGTGCAGCAGGAGCCCATTCCTCAACTATCCGTTTCTCCAATGATTCTGCATTAGCAGTTGGTGGTATTCGAATATCAAAACCAGCTTCTGTTTCTGATGGCTGCAAATTCATGACGAAACCCTGGCAAACAAACAACAAAGAACATGTGTAAGTCAGAGACTAAAATCAAGATATCACTAATTTTTTCTATTAATATAAACAGTATACATATGGATCCAACATAGACGAGTGAGAGACTCAAATCTAGATATCACTAATTTTTTTTATCAATATAAACAATATATGTTTGGATTCAACATAGATGCAAACGGAATGACCATTGTAATGGGAAGGAGAAAGATGGGCTGAAAGGCCTAACTGACCAGCATTAAATGATTGAGCATTTTTAATATAGGAGGTTTAATCTCTTAGGCAACTCCAGTGCTTAAGTTGACTATGCTATAAGATTAATGCACATTGTTTGCCACCTTCAATGAAACAACGCAAGCATGCTATAGCTTTGCAAATTGACGGGTAACATATCTAACGACTAATTATCAACTCTAAAGACTTCAAATTGATACATGAAAACCAAATTTTCAATTGGTCAGAAGTTATTTATGTTCAAACAACACTCACGACATACATCCTCAATCCAGCCAAGCCTACCAGGATGCCTCCAATTAGGTTCCACAGAGTCTGGATATTATGTCTTCTTTTAAAGATTCATATACTAATAACTTTCTAAAAAACATTTAGATTATCCATTTGTGTAATATTTCCCAAGTGTTTGAGGAAAGAAGGTGTTGAACTAAATTAGAAGAAACTCATTACGACTTTGGCAATTGGAATAAGGTTTTGATGCACCAAAACTAGCTCAAGTCAGTAAAGCCACACTGGCCAAGCAAATCTCAGTAAATCTATCTTTATAAATACCACATAACGCATATGCAATACTAGACAATCCTTGACAGATGCAATATGGGCTAAGTGTTCTGTGCTTTTATGTAACAATCTGGAGCTAAACTGTTAACAGAAAACAAATTTAGCTTGGGAACAGTTCAGCAATAACTAACTGAAAGAATAATGCATGTAAATTAACTACAGTGAACAAAACAAGCAAAAGGTTTCAGCCTTCAGAATAAAGCATCTAAACTTCTAAAGACTTACAGTGGGAGAAGGTGTGCCAGCCTTCAGAAAGGCCATGTTAACCGAAATGACTTCTCCTTCAGCCTTCAAACCTGCCTTGACCAAATCAAACTGCGAAGCCCGGAACCTCCTGATACTCTCAATGCTCTTGAAAAGGTTCTCCATTGCACTATTGTCATAGAGCTTCGCCCCATGTCCAGGAGCTCCAGTAGCCTTTATCACCAGCCACCATGGAGTCCTCTCCCCATAGAATAATCTATAATTCTCACCAGGCGAAGCCAAACCTGTTTCTCAAAACAGATATTATCATCACAAAAGAGATAGCTGGAACACCAATTATCCAAAAGTCTAAAGCTCAAAATACCCAACTATTATAAATAAAGTCTAATAGGCCCTCACGTGTAACCTCAACAAGGAACAAGAAGCATTCCGTACAATACTAATTAGCGAGGGAGAGGTTTCGAGAATTCGAAGAGTTATTAAGTATGACATTTTCATATCTGACTTCAATCAAGCCTCATTATCAGCCTTTTTCAACATGGTATTGCATGTTTTCAAGACATATATTTCAAAAATTAGTTAAATCCCATTACCTTCATCAAGCACTACATCAACATTCATATCCTTGAAGACATCAGAGTAAGCCAGCTTCTCAGCACCATCATGGCCACCAATCTCCTCATCAGGAACAAACGACAAATAAAGAGACCGTTTTGGCTGAAACCCAGAAGACTTCAACCTGCGAATAGCCTCCAGATACTGCATGCCAACGCACTTCATATCCTGGGAGCCTCTGGCAAAGATATTGCCTTCTCCATCGATGTGGGCCCCAAGAGGAGGATGGACCCACTTTGAATATTCAGAGGGGACGACATCGGTGTGAGAGTTAAGAAGTACAGAGGGAAGTGATGGGTCGGAGCCCGGCCACTTGAGTAGAACAACTGGTTTGCCTTTGACGAATTCTATGACTTGGGACTCTAAAGAGATGGAATTAGCTTGGGATAGGATGAAGTGGGTTGATTTTTGATAGTCGGGGGAGGGTTGAGCTGTGTTGATTTGAAGGTATTCTTGGAATCTTGATATGATATTGGATTGCTCATCTTGGTTCGGCGCTGTCGTTGAATTCGTGAGGCCTACAAGTAAAGAAAGGAATAGTAGATGAAGAAGGAGAAAATGAAGATTGAAGTTACAAGGCTTTTCCATTGATTCACTCGCTTCTACAGTCTGGCTCTCAGCTCTTGGCGCAGTGATTCTGATCACTAGTTGTCTATTTACAGGGAGAACTGTTGTGTAGTCTTTGTCTTTCTTTTTTGTTCCTTCTCCTTCCATTTTTATTAAAAATATCATAAAAAAATAAAATGATATATTCTTCCGTAATTTTATATTTGTAATTATAATCTTTTTTAATTTTAATTAATTTCACTACTCATGGTCTTAAATTTAAGAGTTGATATTAATAATTGGTATAGATTAAGACTAGATCTTGTGGTACTCATTTTATGACTGAAAAAAAAATATTCAAGCAAAAGGTAAGTTTTTTAAATATACAAAAAATAAATAAATAAATATTTTAAATTTAAAAACGAAAACAAGTGTTTTTTTAAATAATTAGTTACGAAAAGTGATAGGAGTAATCTTATTCTTAACTTTAATTTGAAACAAAATATAAATTTACATATTTATCTTTAATTTGTATATTATTTTAGAGGTTTACTTGATTAATTGCTAATATAGTTATATTATTATTTTTTAAAAGAAAAAAACAGCTTTCTTGCGCATCAAGTCATCTAAATGAGAGAAATTAGTACATAATAATGTATAGATAAACACAGGGGAAAAGGGCAAATTGAATAGCTTGGCATCTGTAGGCCAAAAAACAGGGGAAAACTTGGGTTTATGGCATTGATTTATGGAAAGTTTGGAGCTTCCATGGTTGATAGTGAAATGATTGGTAATGGGAGTAAATAGGTAGCAACTTGGGTGTCAAAAGAGAAACCCTTTCAAACTCCACCCTCCAAAAATCCACGCTTTAGGATCCCTACAGTCAAGCTCCCTTCAAAAACCAAACGAGTAAACCTCTCCCTTTTCCAGGAGGAATCCTAAATCCCAATCCTTTCCAAGAACAAAGCTTCTGATAAATCATAAGACAAATGGAGGATTGCATGAGGGTCTGCATGAGAAAGCTAGCGCTTTGGTTCACCAAAACGTTCAAACCCCTCATGACGCACGACGAGCTCGAGCCCATCATGGCTACCATGGGCTTCGTCGGCCTCCCGCCCGTCCAGGGACCTTCCGCGGTCGCCTGGAAGGAGTACGTCCACACGGCGTCCCCTGGACTTTCCTGGCGCTCCAAGTCTTCGTATTGCTTGGGTTCCATGGCAGGTGAATCACCTACGACGACGCCGCCGCCCAGACCGAGGTTGCCATACCCCAGGATCGATGGGCTCCACATTTACACCTACCGCTCCTTCATTGACGCCGTTAACTTCTATCTCGAGATGTGCGATATCTCTGAACTCTTCCACATTAGGTACGGATCGTTTTTCTTTATTCTCTTCCCCCCAAGCAATTTCTTTTCTCGTTTTCTTTTGCTATAACCTTTTTAGTTTTACTGGAGTTGCTGTCTTCAAGTCTGTTCGTTGCCAAAATCAATTACTCCAACACAGGAAGATGATTAATTATTTGTTCCACATTTATTGTGTATTGCAACCAGTAATTTATTGTGCCCAAGTACTCTCTCTTATCATTCATTCATTCATTGTTTATTCACTTTACTGTGCAATTCTTTGCTGCGTTAACCCCAAAAAGAAGACAATGGCGGAGATCGTAGTTTCATATGCAATTTGATTGTATGGTGCTGGTTGCTACCTGCCCATTGAGACAACCACTGTCAAACTAACTGAAGTTCAGACCTTTGGACAATTCAAGAAACTGGGTTAAATTATTGCTTTTCTTAGTATAGTTTTTTCTAATCAGTACTTCAGTTTTATTTGGTAACAACTATCTGTAACATTATATATGCTTTGTAGCTTATTCCCGTCCAGGTGCTAGCCTTGTTTAGATTGGATTGGTGATTTTTGCATGGTCCAAATTATAGCTATGATTGTTGATCTAGCAGGAATGCTTAACTGTCCCACCATGTCTCCCTATAAAATGCTTGTTAGAACATTTTCCCCCTTTTCTTCTTACCTTTTGCTAATATGTTTCATCATGAGAAATTCGAGAAGGATTCAACCTTATTCAAATATTTTGTTCAAGTATGTTAAATAAATGCAAAGTTGATCTGTCTTTGATAATTTATTCTGACAGAGGCAGTGCATGTGTGCCCCTTGTAAATATCTTTAATCTGTGCAGATATAAAAATAAGTTTAGCAGGCTTTATTGAAGCATCTTCACTGACAAATACATGCAGAATCATGGACATTAAATTAATTAAGTAATGTTTTTTTTTCCAAGCTCGATGACTTAATTTCTGTTACTAATAGTTCATACTGGTTCCACTTGTTTCTTCCTTCAGGGGGATGCCCCTTCATCGGATTCATGACCGAAATAGGAAGTGGCGATGCATGGAAGAAGATGATAGTGTCTTTGTCTACAGGGAAGGGACGCTGGAGCAAACAACGTATAACTTGTATCACTTCAACAAGCCAAACTCCAGCAGCACTGGCAGCTGCAACGGCCACAGTTCCATAGTCATTCGTGACAAAGGGAACACCATCCCGGTCAGCTGCATTGTCCCATTGAAGGATATTATAGTATGGCTAGAAAGATGCTAGGGAAGGGAACTTGAGCATAGACACCTATATACATAAATCTTCACTTTGTCTCAGAACTTTTTACAGAATGTTTGGGATTCTCTCTTGCCGGTAAGGCTCTCATTTTTGTCATAGTATTGATATTATCCAGAGCCGTTTTCTTCAAGATTTTGAAACAATGATTGTATAGTTAATCACAAAGAATAATATCGTGTTAGAACTACATAGATGCCTTTGATCATCATAAAGAAAGAAGGAAAACTAGAGAGATTTTAAGAACTGGAAAGCGGAAAGAAGTAGAGTGCTTCCATTATAACCCGTGGGCGGAAGCTTTATATTCGGTGCAGCCGAGTTAGATTGGACCCCAGGATTTTGCATTGAACTGACAACGTTGGCTCTGTTGCTCACATGGCGATAACTGTGTGTGGCCCTGTTGCTCACACGCCTCAAGGTTCTGCTGGACCCTTGTTTGTACCTTTCTCTGGGTTGGGCCAGGTCGTAGTAGCAGAGCATAAAAGATACAAGTAACAACTTGCTATTATCTGCTATAGTGCCAAACGTCCCAAAATTGAAGGAACATATCTGCTTTTGAAGGCCCTTTAGACTTTAGACCCTCTTTCATTATCTCTTCTTTTGGTCTTTATCGGTTTTTTCAACAAAAGAATCCCAAAATTAAGGCTAATAAGATTGGCAATTTGAGATGACAGATTGTAATTGTGTTGTGTAAATGTAAGAGTATAATCGCTAAATGTTATTTTGTCATAAAACACAAAATGTTTATTATATAAGTTACAAGGCATAATACGATTAATTCGTTTAAAGGATACGATTAACTTATTTAAATATGATTAATTCATTTAAACATGAAAAATAAGTTCATTTATGTATTTTAAATATTAACAATTCAATAAATGAGTCCAAACGCGTCAGATATATTGAATAATATGAGTCAGTTTGTTAATATAAAATAATTACACGTAAATAAATATGTTATATGCAGATTAAATGTGTCAATTCACATAAAATATAAAATAATACATGTCATGAATACAATTATAAAAAGCTTAAACCATTTAATTTTATATCATGTCCAAGATTATCAATTTTACCTGCAATGCTGTTAATAATTTAGGTGACTTTTGGTGTTTTACAATACAATGTGTTTATAAGTAATATGATTACAAATAATGTGATAGCAAGTAATATAATTGCAAAAAAAATAACACTACAATGTTAGGTATATAAGTAAAATAATTATTAAAATGCAAAGAAGTTAAGATTGTAATTTGATTTACAAATATTTTGTTAAAAATGTAATGTTAATATTCAAAATTACTCTTATTTATTAAAATACAAGTTTAATATACTTATATTTTTTATTATTAATTTTTATATAATATCATCTCCTAAATATATTTTTAATGTCATATATTTT